TAATTGTTGAATGATTATGGAATAGTTCAAATCTGCTAATAATTGGAGATGGTTATTGAAGATAGAACATGAACACTTCCCTTGAAAGATCATGTTCTGGCATCTTGACTCTTGAGAGTGCTGCTGGCTCTGTACTGTCATCTAGGTTAGTGGGGTCTGAAATGTAAAGAAGAACAAATGTAAATCCTGAGAATAGTATTCAGTTTAACTCACTTTCCAACGTATGTGGCCACTGAGTAGTTAGCATTTATGCTGTTGTTTTTATTTGAATGATAGCGGCTTTATAGATTACTTAATGTGTATAACTAGGAGTCTGTATTCGAGATAAACTATTTCCTTCAGTCTTCTCTCAACTTTTTTCTACTTCTTTGCTGTTAACACAGCTGGAGTTCAATGTCATTATTGTATCTGTAGAGGAAGAAAAATGTGAAGATTCTTTTTATGGATCCAAGACTATCTCTGCTTGTTCCTGTATGATTTGCTTTAGGAAAACCAGATAGTTCTGCACATTAATATTTAATCGCATCTTAATTCTTAATTGAGTTTAGTGTAACATGCATTAGTCATTGAGACTACTTTTCATATATTCTGCATTGAGTTTTGGGCCTTTAAGCTCTGTGCTTGCTAAACTTAAAATGTCATACAAGCGTTCCCACTCTCTGGATTTCATAGGCAATATATGTAATAAAAATAGCTACTTTAGAAGCATCAACAACTTCCTTAAATAGATATCAGTAACACCAACTACAACATTAATTGTAATAACAAATAAATATTTGTATGTTTTTGTTCATGGTTAAGGGGAACGAGAATTCCAAACTATTTGTATTTCCAATCCTCTCAGCTTCAGGAAAAGTTCTGGAAAAAACTTTCATCCTAGTCTATGCTCTTCCACTTACCTTATCAAGGTGATGAGGAGATAAGGAGACAATAGAAGTCTATTGGACTGTAACTACTGGCCTGTAACATTTTTAAATGAAAATGACATAGACTCACATGCTTTGTGCTCAACTCAGTGTTTCTAGGAGACATAAGGTATATCCAGATTGTTCCTGCAGATCAGATCTTGTGCTTGTAGGTCCATGGATGGCAAAGTTATGAATCTTGAGAGCACTGCTGGGTTTGAGATAAGTATTAAGGTGTTTATCCCTACCAAGGATGGCTGATCCCAAAACTGGATTTCCCCAAACTTCACTGGAGAAGAACTAGATACCTGTTTCATTTCAGATACCTAGGAGTTGTAGAGTGTTTTACATGTAATTTTCATGAATGTAGGCACCTGAATTCTGCCACATGTTTCTGTGGCTATACATCTAAATATATAAAAAAGAGGTCTGATAACAGGGTGCTTGTTGGTTTACCTGTGGCCAATGCATTGTTGATGAGGAATGCCTTATGGTTTTGGCATAACAGATTTTAGAGAGGAGCTTTTACTGATGGCAGTAGATTGAATAGAAATGTATTGAGTTAAAGGGCTAATAACTTTTATGTTAGTGTTTTCACAACCTTTTCTCCTGCTTCAATTTTTCTTGTTCTCTTCGCTTTTCTTCCTATTCTGTTATCCTATTCATTCTCTGTGCCAGTGGGACTAGCCATATTCTTTGAGGCAATTTTTAGTACACAGAGAGGATCTAACTTCAAAAAATGTTCACTGAGACTTGAGAGCTAACTTAATGATGCTAGCTCCTGGAAAAGATCAAAGGGGTCTGGCACTTGCACTGTGTAGGCTTGCAGAAGAACACAAGAGAAATGGTACTGTTAATGTTTCAAAGGGCAGAGGTTCCTGATGACAAAATGCAAGATGCAAAAATGCTTTATTGTTGAGAAGTAGAAAAATCTTGACTTATTTTCAAGTTAAGTGGTGTATGGAGTTATAAACTGTGAAAAAAAATTGTAATAAAAGCTTCAGACTCTCCTAACATTTTAGAATTTATTTGATGCTTGTGCAAAGTGTTGGGTGAATTCCTTTAACGACAGGAATTAAAAAAAAATGAAAATAGGCAGAAGAGTATTTAGTATTCTGGGCTGTTAGAATGCATTGTCCCAGTCACTGTTGATCAGACTCATTATCTGCAGCCTCATGGTGGTTTTAGTAAACAGGTATCGATTGAAAATTGTTTCTAGTGAATAACTAGAACTGACATTGTTCTTGGCAGAATTTTGACATAACAAGATTGAAAAGATATGGGAATGTAAATGAAGACAGGTAGTCTGGAAGAAGCAGAATGCAGTCATACTGCTCTGGGTTTTTGAGTTGGCCTGTTGAGTAAATGGAGGTGTGGTTTTTTTTCAATCAACTTCTTTAAGCAATTATTGGTTGGTGATTTTTGAAGGAGAGAAGAAAACAATGCATTTATATGGGAGTACACAATCTAGTAAAACACAAAGCAGTTCTTGTAACCAAAGGAAATAAAACTGTATGTGTGTATGTAGGCAGGATTTAAGAACCTGGTGTATTTTCAGCCTTTTTCTGTCTAGAAGAAGCTATTTAAACCACAGTACTGTTCAAAACATCCTGAGTACTTCATGTTGTATATCATTATTTCTACCAGTTACTAAAACTTCTACTTATAATTTCATCTGATTGAAGAGTGTCTTGGAAAGAGGGTAGCAGGTATTAGCGTGTGGTTTGCGGATTTAGATCCAGAATCCCCATATATTCTCTTACCTTGAAAGATAAATATCTGTGCTGGACACTTGAAGAGTTCAGACCTGTTGATCCACAATGTCAATGCTTGTTTAATTTCACATGGTAGGATCTATTTTTTCAATAGTTGTTTACATAATTTCTTTTCAAATTGTAGCTTTCCCTCCACGGTTGAGGTAAAGTCAAGGAAGATGGTTCCCTAAAGCGAGGACTGAAAGATGTATGGAGAGTGCTCAAGGAATGCGTCACAGTTACATAATAACGGAAGCTGTTGTCCTCACATAACTGCAGCATTGGAAAGTGTATGGTGGATGAGATACAGAATTGTAGGAGAAGAAAAGATAACTTCTTAGGAGATATATTTTTGAATTATAGGGTCAAATTATATCCTGACTTAGAACACAGTGTTCATATAAAATGATGACAAAATAATTTTAAATGCAGGTTTTCAAAGTATCTCTGAATGGATAGTGTTTTTTACTTAATGATGCTAAACTAAAAATCTAATTGTAAGATTTTCAAGAATACAAGGGTTTACAGCTGCAACTGAATTCAACAAACATATACTATTATGGAAAGATGCTAGATCCTCTTGAAAAAAAAAACAACAAAGATTTCAAACAGCACACTCAGAATTAGTGTGCAGTATTGCAATTTTTATCTTACTCTACTTTGATCTCAGTTCCACATGTGAAAAAAATGGACCATGTTCACTATCCAAAGAGAGGCTGGGTTTAATCAGATTATGTGAAGTGCTCATATTTTCTTCGCTTAGTTCAATAGAAAAACTCAAAATGAAGTAGTAACTAGAAGAGTGCCCAGTAAACATATTTGGAAGTCATTTACAGAGAAGAATTTAGCTGCATATTTGGTTATCTTTGTCTGGTTGCCAGTGAGGTGGCATTTTAGACTGTCCAGTTCGAAGTGTGTGAATTAGGAACTCTGAATCATTGCCTGGGAGTGTTTCCGTCTCACAATTGACCATATAGAGCTTTCAAGCTTTTAATTGTGAGGGTTCTGAATGAAATGTGCTCAGCTGCCTAGTGAAAAAAGTAAGGAAATGCTTCAATTCCCTGCCCCTCCCACCCCTCCCCCTTTGGATTTCCCGTGTCAAAAAACTAGTATGGAATCTCTTGGTTAAAATTCTAAGATGCATGATAGAGTGGAATTGTGATTGCATGAAAAAATTTTGTTTTCATATTTCTTAACTTTGGAGTGTATCTGCTTGGGTTTTTTTATTTGGTTTTCATTTTGTTTTTTTTTTGGTGGGTTTTTTGGTTGTTGTTGTACTGGAACATTTCTTTGTATATAAATTTTTTAATTACTGAAGAGGCAAAACTGTCTGCTGCATGCTCAGTTTTCCATCTCTGTTGTCTGTTTAGAAAAGTTTTCATTGTGTCTTAATGTCCACTTATTTACTTCTTGCATGGTCACTGACCCCAGTTTATAGAGGTATTCACTGTGAGATCATATGATGGAGGAGTTGTGGAACTATTTTGGTGAGCTTTAATTTTCAGTCCAACTTTAAGTATCCACTTAAATTGGGAGCCTGCATTCCCTGTTTAGTTTAGGGAAGAGAGTATTCTCTATGGAGACATTCAGAAAATCTGTTTAGAAACCTTTTTGGATTTTCTGAACACGTAGAGAAGCTTGACCCAAACTTAGTATTTGAGACTGGAACAATTTTCTACTCACTCAAGTTAAAGTATGCATTTCAGATAGGATATATTCCTAAATACAAATAGAATAAACAAATACTAATCAGTACTTTACAGACCTAATGTATCTATTCTCTAGTTATTTCTTTTAGCAAGTCCTAGTAATTTTTACTCAGGAGTCAAATTCCTTAATTTTCCTTCCTTAGAGTTACATTGTTTACAGGTCCCAACATCATTGTAGTTTAATAAAGATTTTCCTTTAACCTCTTGGAGTTTTACATTTGAAATTACTTTTTACATGTTATGAATACACCTTGAGTTATGATATGTAATTTGATTGTTAGTAAATAATAAGAAAAGTAGATTATAGTTCACATAATCAGAGCACGTTTGTTTGTAGTTATAGCTGTGTGAATCGCTGGAGATGTTCTGACATGATACACTGTCCAACAAATTTGAAGCTAGTTACAGAACATTACCAATTTAATTTTGTAACTAAAAGTTTTAAATACTTGGCATTCCACATTTTTAACCCTAAATGGAAATAAGCACAGAGTGCAACTTAATATAAATATGCAACAAATATTAAAGGAAATCCTTTTCATTCGACTCCTGCCCATTTGATCAGATTCCAGAACTTCAGGGTAGTTGTTTTACAACATGTTGCACTCAGTTGTGGAAACTTATCTTTTTAGGGTCAAAGAAGAGCAAAAACCACAGCTGACACAGTAAGTAAAATATCTTAAAAATGCAATAGGCTTGACTTTTCTACCTTTGCCGTGTTTTGCTTTCTGTACCTTTGATGGTATTAGCTTTCACTAATACCTGACAGGCTGCAGTTAGTTTCTCATCTGCTTCCTGACTGGCTTGTAAGAGAGCTGCCTGCAGCTTCTTACTTCATCCACACGTTAGCTGGATGTAGGTTCTTGCTGCCTGCTTGTGAACTGTAAAACTTTACTCCCCTTGTACCCTTAGTGGCTGACTTAGTATTGCAGCTAACATTCCCATTGGCTCTAGCTTTTCCGCCTCTATATCTCTATTAGCATTGGATAAGAAAACATTCGAACTAGTGTGGTTTTGCTGGTTATTCAGTCACATTATTTGCTTATTTAAACAGGTGGTTTCCCTTTAGTGGGATCACTGAGCTGGTAAATAACGTTCTTCAACCACAGCAAAAACAGCAAAATGAAAAGGAGCCCCAGACGTAAGTAAGCTGCTCTCTGTAGACTAAATAATGTCTGTATAGCCTTAAAACATACTGGAGAGTATGTTTAAAATAATTTAGAACATCCTGCTGAGGACGTTTTATAAGCTGACACCATTTGCTTCCTGACCCTTCATTTGCAAAGGGAAAATGGAAAATCAAGTGGTACTCCAAGGAGACCAGTAACGTGAGTGATTACATTAGAATACATTCTAAGGAGTTACTAGGGCTCCATTTGCCATTCTCTGCAAATGTTCCATACCCGAAACTCCCAGTGATGTGTTTTCTGTGCATGTGGAACTGAGATTATAAGATATGTAGTATTAAATATAGCATATCTATGCCCATGCATGGTATTTGGGATATCGATCACGCATAGAATGCTATACAAATCTACATAATATGTCTGAAAAGCTTTTTAAGGACAATGAAAATGTCATTTAATTTTTTTATGCTTCTAAAATATCTGTAAAGTTTTAGAACTTTAGCAGATAAAAGATGAAATCTTGGATCTGTCAAAGCTGACTGCATTTTGGCTTTCATGGGGTCCGTATTTCATCCATGGACCTTCTACATTGCTAAGACAGTATGAGTGCTATGTGAAAAATTTCAATTTTCATACTATCTGAAAATTTTAAGTTTTAATGGAAACTGACAAAGCTAGGTCATTAAGTCTTAGAGTAGAACTGGAGCTGAAAATACTCTTTAAATAAAAAAAGACTAAAAATTCTTAAAATGTGACTTCCAATATTATTTAAGCTTTAAATAGTTAAGTTGCTGTATTTTCTTTCTGCTAAAGGGGTATACCTTGTAACTTCATGTGCTAAAAGAAATGTTTGCAATTGTACTAATGAGTAACTGGTTTAAAACATGCATATAACTTCTTGTTAATTGTTTTTCAGAATCAGTTTTATTTTTAAATATGTTTATTTAAATGAAATTTCATACTTGCAGGTCATTAAAACTGAATTATTTTTTTGAGACTACAGTGAGAAGTTTTCACAAAATTTGCTGTAGAAATAACCCATAAAATGATATTCTATAAAACAAGGTACTATTTTGAGCTCTGTTTCAGATATCCTTACTGAAGTTCTTATAACATTGCATATAATATTAATAGTGTTTTTCTTTATTAGTTACTGTTAGACACTGGCAAGATTATATTTAAGTCCCAACACCTCAGTACCTCCTTTGTATTCCCAGTTTCCTTAATGCAGCAAAGTTTGTTCGGCTTACCAGTGTTGTACATATGAAGCTTATGGCTTTGAAGAAACTGAAAATACCATATACAAAGTGCAAACAGTTGAATTAGTTGCCAAAAAGTATTTATAAATGTTACTATGGAAAAATTTTTTTGAACAGTGATCTCTTTGGGATCCAGTTTTGTTCAAGGTTTTTATTAAATAATTAAGAAATCAATGAAGTTTTATATGCATTGAATTTACAGATGGGACAGTGCTAGGAGAAATGTAACATCTAGTAGCAGGATTATATTTCAAAATTTTCCTGAAAAATCCAAACTAGGATTGTGATGTTATGATGCCATTCAAAAGGATAAATGCAAGATGGTGTAATTGTGTAGGGATAGTTTTTGTGGTTGACACAGGATAAAGAAAAATGATGTGAGTAGAAGGTCTGGGAGCCATGACAGTGTGTAATTTGAGCAAGAGCCAGTATCATGAAGGAGCTAAATGTTGTACTGGAATGTACAGACTCCAGCCTGTTAAGAGCTGTGAAGACGTTTTCACACTAAGATTTGGTAAGGTCTCACCTGGAACAGCCTGACCTTTTTTGGACACCATCCCTGAAAAATGATGTGGTGCATTTCGAATATAGATGTCTCAGAAACATGACATTTATAAGGAAAGACCGAAACATATGAGGTGATTTGGCCTCCTGAAGAGAAAAACCCAGGGGATGAAGGAGATGGACAAAGCTTTAATTATGCAGATAGTTGCTGAAAAATGGAAGGAAGGGATTTCTTCTCTATGCCTCTGGTGGTGAAGCAGAAAGGAGTAAACTTTTGTGGCATCGGGGAGGATTCAGCTTGGTTGGGAAAACTTTTTAACAGAAAGAAAACTTAAAATGCTGGCATAGTTTGCCTGGGGCTTCCGTGGAATCTGTGTCATTGAGAATCTTTAGGAGCAGGTTTGGCAAGAGAGTATTAGACCAGACACAAGTGCAGCTGGTCCTGCACTGGAACAAGAGAGTGGACTGAGTGACTTTTTGAAATGTCTTCCAGCACTGTTGGTTTGTGATAATTTCATTAATTTATTAATGAACAAATTTATTTTTGTGATTAGGGTAAACTTCCAGGGAGAAAATTGAACATAAATACTAATGGTGAAACTTCTTTGATTTCTTTTTCTCACTTCAGTGGCTTATAGAGCACTGTTGTAGCTGGGAACGTTGTGGGACACTGGGAAGCAACATGAAACTCTGTATGTCTGAAGAAATCATTCCCCCTATCCATACATATCTGGCCATTTTCCACTTGAAATCATTGTCAGGATCAGAGTCTGTAATGGTTTTCAAGATACATCTGGCTGTCCAGTTTTTCTGCTGAAAAAAATTATTTGCAGTTACACTGGAGGAGGCAGAAAAGGAGTCATAGCAGTGCATCTGTTAGATCTTTTTGAGTAAAGGGTGACCACCATCACTCACAGTATTCAAAATATAAGAATTCCCTAATTTTATACAGTGAGTTAGCAATGAAATTTTCTAATGTTTGTTGCTTAAAGATAACCAAATATTGAAAAGATGGTGGGTTTTTTCTCCTTTTTGCATGAACAATTTAGTTAATTTTCAGGCTGGAAGTGAGTCTCTAGTTGGTTTCGTTGCTTGATAAGAACCGGAAGAGGACTGTCATTGACTTTGGTTGCAGGAACTGAGCCTTTCTCTTTGCTTTGATAATTATGAGAACATTGCTGACAAACAGTGGACAACATGCAGTCAGCATCAAAAGCCAATAAGCATAATGCCATTTTTACCTACAATAATTCAAAATAAACAGATTCCTGTATTTAATTGCTTCTTTGACATTCACTAGACTAATTCTAGGAGAGATTAAAATTGAATGTTACTTAGCACATGTTTTTTTCTGCTAAAAATGGCTTGTTGATAAATACATATTTATATGTTTTTCTGGAAGTTATGTTGTTGTTATAGGGAAATGAAGACTGAAAATTACTGTAAAATGATACTTAGTATAACCTTTTTCTGCAAACTAAATTGATTTTTATATTGGTAGAACATTCCAGCAAACTAGTGAAACTTTCAGTAAAATGTCTTCTCCTGTAGAGATGGATTTTTTTTTGAGTTCTATAACAACTGTAAATGAAAGATATTATCCATGAAGAACACTTGAATTTTACATTTTGACCTTTTTGAAATGTCAAGTTAATTCACAAATTTTCACAATACATACTCATTCTCTGTGGTCACATACATGATTTTGTTAACATGCCCTGTCTTGGTGTAAAATCACCCTAGGCATAATGGAAAAGTTTTCAGTGTATGAATGTGTTCACTGTAAAGAACAGGTACAGAATTTATAGAGAAGACAGTGTCATTATTCCACATCTTTAAGGAATTGTTGCATGAAGTTGTGCAGAATAAATTGTAAGATGCAATATGTACAACATATATTTTCTTTTTAGTTTATGATGCAAATTCAGTTTTACTAGTTGCTGAATACAGCACTTGACAGGTACAATTTCTTAGGTTAGATGTTATTTTCTTCACAAAATTAGAAATGTCTAGTAAGGAAATATTGCTGGATTAGTCAGTGTCTGAATTAAAGCAATCTTTGAAGTAGATCGCTGCATTTATAGGAATCTTTAATGAATTTTTGTTAAAACAGATTGGCATTTCTCAAATACCTAACATAAATCAGTGGATCGTTATTTCTGTATTCTAAATTTATTGTGTAAACAATATGTTGGCAAAATACTAGGCTGTTTTGAATTTCTTGAGATTATTTGCTCCAAGTGTGATAGGAAGCCCACATTAAGGAGTTATCTATTAAAATTTACACTGTATATAGTCAGTGGGTTTATTTGTGGTCTTTTTAGTCCATGTTCATGGTTATTAATAGAACCTGTTGAAAAGTAGCACATTTCACTTGAAGGGATATTTTTCTGAAAGAGAAAAATGTGTCTCTGCAGCCAATACATTTGTGAAATTGGAGTCATGAGATGTCTAGCACTCTGTGTTTATTTCCTTAGGCAGTCAGATGGGAAGAAAGCAGAGAGCAGATGAGCTAAAAATAAAACCAGAATTTGTAATGTGAAAAACAGAAACGGAGAGATTGTAGCTATTTTGAAGTAAAACATAAATCTAAAAAATACCTTCTGAAGTATAAACCTGTTTTTATCTTCATAATAAAGTAAATATGAGGTGCCTAAATGGCTTCTGTTGTGTGATTCTGATGGCTGATCATGACTCTTCATGTTATGAGACTCTTAAACTGCAGCGTAAGATTATGGTTGCCTGATTTGTAAAGTTGTTTTGTACTTTTTTCCCAGATATTTTGCTCATAGTATTTGATATAAGAGAGATTTATTTGTGTTCACTGGATTGTTCACAGTGTTACTGAGGCCAGGATAGTAATCATGAATACGGTGGAACTCGGTTTTATTAGAAGGGAAAGATAAACATGTTGAGGACAGATAAATATAGTGATCATAAGAAATATATTTTGGTATTTAACTTGGAATTCAATTGATCTATTTTAATCCTAAAACATGCACAGGTATGTAATTCTGCAGACAAACCTATAGACTGTAATAATTCAAAGAGAAAAAAATCCACTTTTTGGGATGAATTAAAAAATCTTACTAATAAGGATTTAAAAATACTCAGGGACAATGTGAGGAACCTATTGTTGAAGAATATGTCTATTTGTGAATGAAAAAAAAGTAATCTTTAAACAAAAATGGATTAGTACGGTATAAAGGAGGAATTCCTTGAGGATCTGGGATTAAAAAACCAACTTGGAA